AAAGAGCGTGAGGGGTGCCGTGGAGAATATGGTTAGAGAGGGGGTGGGGGTCGGGAAAGCGCGTGAAAGGTGCCGTGGGGAATATGGTTAGAGAGGGGGAGGAGGTCAGGAAAGAGCGTGAGGGGTGCCGTGGAGAATATGGTTAGAGAGGGGGTGGGGGTCGGGAAAGCGCGTGAGGGGTGCCGTGGGGAATATGGTTAGAGAGAGGGTAGATGTCGGGAAAGCGCGTGAGGGGTGCCGTGGGGAATATGGTTAGAGAGAGGGTAGATGTCGGGAAAGCGCGTGAGGGGTGCCGTGAGGAATATGGTTAGAGAGGGGGAGGAGGTCAGGAAAGAGCGTGAGGGGTGCCGTGAGGAATATGGTTAGAGAGGGGGTGGATGTCGGGAAAGAGCGTGAGGGGGGTGCCGTGGGGAATATGGTTAGAGAGGGGGTGGGGGTCGGGAAAGAGCGTGAGGGGTGCTGTGGGGAATATGGTTAGAGAGGGGGAGGAGGTCAGGAAAGAGCGTGAGGGGTGCCGTGGAGAATATGGTTAGAGGGGGTGGGGGTCGGGAAAGCGCGTGAGGGGTGCCGTGGGGAATATGTTTAGAGAGGGGGTAGATGTCGGGAAAGAGCGTGAGGGGGGTGCCGTGGGGAATATGTTTAGAGAGGGGGTGGGGGTCGGGAAAGAGCGTGATAACGTATAGGGTCGGGCAGATTTTGTATGGTTCTAACGCCAGGGAAAGGTGTGGTGGCGGTATGGGGTTAGGGAGGGGGTTTAGTAAAGACGTAGGATTGGGAGGAGCGAATGTATGCTGGGGTATGGGGCGAGGGAGGGGAGTGGCCGGGAAAAAGGCCGGGTAGAGGTACCTTCTCACAGGCAGTTTAGAATTCGCAAACTTTCTTTAAATAGACACACCGATTACTCTTTTCGAACAGCAACAAAAGACAAAACTCGTGAAATAGGTGCAACCATTCGTTTACTATCGTCATGATCCGTGCACAGTGTTCATTAATTACATGCACAGGACACGCACCGACAATAAAAAAATGAGCAATATTCGGAAACAGAGTTATGCAAAAACTAAATACGTGTGCGGAATGTATCTGTTAATCACTTTATTTCATATTCGACAGACTGGCTTAGAGTCACTTCATACTTCACCGAGACAAACAAATGCAGTGCTGAAACCTTCATGGAATTACACCTACCGTATCCAATATCGGTGCAAACGAACTAAAAAAATTTAAATAAAACAAAGCCTTTTCCACATCAGGTGGCGCCACTTATCACGAAACTGGAGCTTCACAGAACACACTTGGCTGCTCTTTTTTTTAGTGTCACGAAGATCAACTATCCGGAAAGATCGAAATGCAATCGTAGAAAAATAAGATTCAGATTATCGTACCACGTTTTCCAGAGTGACGAATACAAAGGCACAACGATCAAACCGATGCACATATACTAATATACAAAACGAACACACTAACACTCTAGAACATGGTTACAAAAAAACTACAAGTACGATTGTCTCCCTACTTACCTACTTTCAATGGTATATTTCTCAACTATCTATTGAGCGGAATGCAACTCGACTCATGACTGGTATATTACTTGACTATATTTCACAGTTGAAAGGCGATTGCTTCTGTTCGATAGACGTTTCGTCTGCACGCAATTCTCAAACTCGCACACAGAATACGCCAACTAGATAAAAGTTGAGCAATCTTGCCTCCGACGCGACACGCATTCACTCACACACATAACTATAACCACTCACGCATACATACACTCGCATCACAGCTGCCACCTACTGGGCAAAATATCAAACTAGGAGTTTTACTCGGTTGTCAATACTGGGTCATACCACCCTGAGGACTTGCAACATTCGCAACAAACGAAACAACCGGGCTCGACAGTTGGGGAGGGGTTTATCTGTCGACACACCTCATCAATCGTTACGGACCCTCCCCAAGATCAAAACAGGAATTCGCCGCATGTCGGCCTGGCGACAAGCGCACCCGGCGATGGTCGCCAAGACAACAGGCGCACCTGGCGATAGTCGTCATGGCGACCCATCCGGGATTACAGTACAGAGATGGGAGTGACTCGTGATGATCGCCTCTCGCGATGGCTAGCGACAATTGACACAGCAATGGCCGCCTTCCCTAGTGACTGTCACGGCGCAGCACAGCACAACGGGCTCCACTAGCAACCGTTGTTGTGGCGACAGTTGCTGTCGACTACAGCACGACGACAGCCACTCCTAACAACGGTCGCCGCCAACTACAACACGACGACGACAGTCCCTCCTAGCGACGGTTGCCGCGGCGACGGTTGCCGCCACCGACTACAGCAGGATGACGGGCGGCGGCATGAGTCGCTCGATGTGAGCAGAGAGCGACTGTCGCTCGCGTCGCAGCGTGTGCGGGTTGACGCGGCGACGGTTGCCGCGGCGACGGCTACAGCAGGATGACGGGCGGCGGCATGAGTCGCTCGATGTGAGCAGAGAGCGACTGTCGCTCGCGTCGCAGCGTGTGCGGGTTGACGACGGTGACGTCGCGCTTCCAGTGTCGCGCGAGGCTCTCCACCTCCAGGAAACCGTTGTCACCGCTAACGATGACGAACGGGACGTTCGTGCAGACGACGCGGTCGATACGGCCCGCCTGCAACAACCCGACGCGCGCTCGTTAACTCATTAACTCGTTAGCTCATTAACTCATTAACTCGTTAGCCATTTAACACGTTAGCTCGTTAACTCGTTAGATCGTTGACGCGTTAGCTCGTTAACTGGGTAGCTCGTTAACTCGTTAGCTCAGATGCTCTGCGGGAGGCGACTGCAACGGGGGTATTTACACCGGACTAGAATTAAGAGGGGAATATTTCAGTTGTGGCGTTGATAGTTTTTGCTGGATACGTTCCAGTAGTTACTTAGTAGTAGTAGTAGTGTTGCTGTAGTTCTTATGATGTATGTAGAGTTACTATGCTTCTGGCAACGGCCCTTTCCGGAATTGAAAATATTACCCAGACCAAAATTCTTTTAGAAGACCGAGAATAAATTCCGTGCTGAACATGCAGCGAAATACACGAAAGTTGATCTATTGGCAAGTTAGATGGCGCTGCATGTCCTGGTTGTGCGCAGCCAGGTGGCGCCACGCGCTACTCACCGACGTGCAGATAGCGAAGTCCGCCGCGTCCTTCCTGTTGCTACATTTCTCGTGTAGCAGGAACATTCCGCTGTCCTTGTGAACCTCGAACATCGGAACGCTGAAACAACGAGAACATCTCAATAAAAGGTGACGGTTCACTGAAGCGGATGGGTCAATGAGAAGATAGGTCAAGGTTCGACAGATTCACAAAATCTCATTCATCAGCATTGCTTCCTTCTTACAGAACAACGAGAAGCTCCCTTCTTCAGTGTCCATCATAACTGCCGTCCCTACGCCTTCTGCTAAAAAAAAGCACTCGTTCGTAACCAAGTATTCTATAAACTAGGACACGTCGCAGGGACATATACCCCTGGCGTGACCTTCACACGTGCCCATAGTACGTTAGTTATTGACCCATAACTAGCGACAGTTAGTAACAGCTATGTAATGAACGTGAATGAACGAGAATGAGAAGAGAAAGTACAAGAGGTACTTAAGTGTGAATGTACAGGGATCATACCCATAGTCTGACATTTTCATAACTTTCACAGACCTTACAGAGCATCTAGAAGCACTCTTTCACATCACTACGCCTTCCACAACAAACGACACTTATTCGTAACTAGTATTTTATAAACTGGGATACTAACTAAGATAAGCCAAGGAGAAAGAAATCCCTGGTGATCTGCTCACGCACGATCTGCACAATCTGCTCGATCTGTCGTCTCCGCGAACTCACAGGGTGCGAAATTAACGGGAGTCCGGAGTCAAATACTCTCGGATTTACTGTCGGACTCCCTGATTTGACATATGCAGGAGTCCGTGTGACTCCCTGAAAATTCTGCCATACTAACTAGTTCGTTCAGAGCAGGGCCTCGCAGAATTACCATATTTTTTCAGGTAATGCCCAAAGAAAATTTGGCAGACCTGCAACTGCATGAATCTTAAAAATAAGCACATGCGTTATTGTTAATATCTTTTAAATTTAAACCTCAGACTGCGGACTCCCTCATTTTGCCGCAGACTCCCTCTTTTTGAGGGTAGAAAGATTCTTTTTCTTTTTCTTTTTCTTTTTCAAAGGCTCTTTTTCCGTTGGAATCCCGTTTAAAAAGTTAATTTCTACCCCTGAACTCACTCACTGTTTCGGCTCTCTCCAGATCTGGCCGCCGCCGAAAAACCCGTACACGAAGCACGTCGACGGCAGAGGACGGTCCAACGTGTGGAAGAATTTCGGCCAGTTGTCCAGGTCAACAAAAACAATCTGAAAACGACACGCAAACAAATATCAGAGGCGAACACAGACGGACACACGAGTTATCGCGCGCGCGCGCACAGGGGAGAGACATCAAGGAGAATACGCCACGCCTACAGTAGATAAGGGTTACTCTACAGAATACGGCCTCAAATACGGGTGCCCTCTTGTAGGGACACAAACCTAGGCACGTTAAAATCCCATGTTAAATTAAGATTCAAGTTGGCTTTACAATGGCGCACAGTCACTGCACTGCCCCATGTATATTCAACTAGATTATTATTATGTCTCGCTAAGGTAGACAGCTAGCGATGGACTAAGGTGAGACTTAGATAAGAGATTGGCACGCTAAACCATGCAAGATTGTCAAATGTCCACGCGGACGCGAATGTTCTTGTGTTCTCGCGCACCATCAGCACGTTGTCAAACTTGATGTCGTCCAGTGGGTCCTTGCGCTTGGCCGTGAAGCGCACTGATCGCTCGAGCCTCGACGTGAAGTCCATCGCGACGTTGATGTTCGGATTGAAGGTCACGACCTGCGGGCACGGACGGAGAATCGTTGAGCGACGTGAATGTAGGCCGGACTGCGGGGGTTAGGACGTATCGCGCGGGGGAAGAACTTGCGCGGGGGAAGAACGTGCGCGGGGGAGGAATGCGCGCGGGGGAGGAACGCGCGCGGGGGAGGAACGCGCGCGGGAGAAAAACTCGCGCGGGGGGAGACTTGTTGCCCCGTGTGCAACGATGTGTCACGTATTGAAGCCGGAATCTCAAATATAATCTCAATACCCATGCACCACGGTCTGTATTAGAAACGCAAGGCCCCCACGGCAATCCGGAAATGGTCTGCGTGACGCGCTTTTTCATCAGAGGGTTTTTATTCCCACTTTTCAATGACGACTTACAAGTGAAACAGAGAGGGACCTGCATACAACGCGGAATTCACAGAAAAGACTCAAAGACAAAAAAAAATCACAGCCGCGACGGCTTTACTGACGTGAACATTGTAAGCACAGCGTTTACACGAACGTAGCTCCATATGACAATAGCAACACTCGGGCTTGCAATAGTAATAAACACAAACAATACCCAGTTGAATAACACGCTGAATATCATTCGATTTTCGGGGGGGGGGGGAACCGCAAGTAAGGAAAACGACAAGTAGTCAGTGAGTAAAGAAGGACAAGTAGAGAGGGAAACGACAAGTAGTCAGTGAGTAAAGAAGGACAAGTAGGGAGGGAAACGACGGCAATCACCGTTAGCGAAATTCGAGCCGCGTGACAGCGGAACGCTCACCTGCTGCATGAGCGGTGGCGCCACCACTGCGGGCGGCGATCGGACAGGAGACTTTCGTAGAGACGACGACGACGGCGACGACGATGATGGCTGGATGACAGTGCGCAACGGTGCGGCAGCAAAGTCCGGCCCCCGCCGCTGCTCCAGCAGACGCCTGTACGGAGCGCGCGGCCTCCGTGGCATGCCGAGCGAAACGTGCTGCAGAAAGAAACGAGTTATCGAGTTATACATCAGTCAGCTCCGGTATCCTGCGTGAGAGGCTTAAGATTGAAGATCTGGAATCCACCCGTAGACGTAGGCGTCTGCGATGGTACGGCCAGGTACAGCGGAGCGGCTCATGGATAAACACAGGCACCAGCCTCCATGTCGATGGATGTCAAAGAAAAGGAAGACCCAGAAAGTCGTGGAAAGAGCTTGTTAAGGAGGATCTGAGAGTGTGGAACCTCACAGATGAGGACACCCTAGACAGGGTTAAGTGGAAGAATGTTCTAAGAACCACCACGCAACGTCCAACCTGCTAGCATGCGGAACGTGGATGTTAAACGGATATGATGATGATGATGATGATGATGATGATGATGATCTCACGCACACATCAATGAAGATACGAGATATGTCATGCTCGTGACAATGAAGACACAAGTTATACCTCATGCTCTTAATGATAGCGATACAAGTTATATTTCACATTTGTGATGGTGGAGAGATACAAGTTATATCCCATGCTTGTAACGACTAACATACAAGTTATATCCTATGCTTGTAACGACTAACATACAAGTTATATCCCACGCTTGTAATGACTGAGATACAAGTTATATTCCACGCTTGTAATGACTGAGATACAAGTTATATTCCACGCTTGTCACAACTGAGATACAAGTTATATTCCACGCTTGTAACGACTGAGATACAAGTTATATCCCACGCTTGTAACAACTGAGATACAAGTTATATTCCACGCTTGTAATGACTGAGATACAAGTTATATTCCACGCTTGTAACAACTGAGATACAAGTTATATTCCATGCTTGTAATGACTGAGAGTAGGGAGATCAACTTGGTATCTCAGATCGTTACAGCGGGAATATAACTTGTATCTCAGTCATTACAAGCGTGGAATATAACTTGGATCTCAAGTCATTACAAGCATGGGAGATAACTTGTATCTCAGTCATTACAAGCATGGGAGATAACTTTGTATCTCAGTCATCACAAGCGTGGGATATAATGTATCTCGTCGTTTCAAGCGTGGAATATAACTTGTATCTCAGTCGTTTCAAGCGTGGAATATAACTTGGATCTCAGTCATTACAAGCGTGGGAGATAACTTGTATCTCAGTCGTTACAAAGCGTGGAATATAACTTGTATGTTAGTCGTTTCAAGCGTGGAATATAACTTGTATCTCAGTCTTACAAGCGTGGGATATAACTTGTATGTTAGTCGTACAAGCATGAGATACACTTGTATCTCAGTCATTACAAGCGTGGAGATAACTTGATCTCAGTCGTTACAAGCATAGGAAATATAACTTGTATCTCAGTCATTACAAGCGTGGGATATAACTTGTATCTCAGTCGTTACAAGCGTGGGATATAACTTGTCTCAGTTGTTACAAGCATGGGATATAACTTGTATCTCAGTCGTTACAAGCGTGGGAGATAACTTGTATCTCAGTCGTTACAAGCGTGGAATATAACTTGGATCTCAGTCATTACAAGCGTGGAAATATAACTTGTAATGTTAGTCGTTTCAAAGCGTGGAATATAACTTGTATCTCAGTCGTTACCAAGCGTGGGATATAACTTGTATGTTAGTCGTTTCAACGTGGAGATATAACTTGTATCTCAGTCGTTACAGAGCGTGGGATATTAACTTGTATCTCAGTCATTACAAGCATGAGATAACTTGTATCTCAGTCGTTACAAGCGTGGGATATAACTTGTATCTCAGTTGTTACAAGCGTGGGAGATAACTTGTATCTTTCAGTCGTTACCAAGCATGATGATAACTTGTTATCTCAGTCATTACAGCGTGGGATATAACTTGTATCTGCAGTCGTTAACAAGCGTGGGAATATAACCTTGTATCTCAGTCGCTACAGCGTGGGAGATAACTTGGTCTCAGTCGTTACAAGCAGTGGGATATAACTTGAATCTCAGTCATTACAAGCGTGGGATATAACTTGTATCTCAGTCCGTTACAAGCGTGGATATAACTTGTATCTCAGTCGTTACAAGCATGGGAGATAACTTTGTATCTCAGTCATTACAAGCGTGGAATATAACTTGTATTCAGTCATTACAAGCATGGGGATATACTTGTATCTCAGTCATTACAAAGCGTGGAATTATAACTTGTATCTCAGTACATTACAAGCATGGAATATAACTTGTATCTCAGTCGCTAACAAGCGTGGGAGATAACTTGTATCTGCAGTCGTTACAAGGCGTGGGATATAACTTGTATCTCTCAGTTGTTAGCAAGCGTGGGAGATAACTTGTATCTCAGTCGTTACAAGCATGAGATACTTTGTATCTCAGTCATTACAAGCGTGGGAGATAACTTGTATCTCAAGTTTTACACAAGCGTGGAGATAATTGTATCTCAGTTGTTACAAGCGTGGGATATAACTTGTATCTAGTCTTACAGAGCATGGAGATAACTTGTATCTCAGTCAGTTACAAGCGTGGGAGAATAACTTGTATCATTAGTCGTTACAAGCGTGGGATATAACTTGTATGCTCAGTCATTACAAGCGTGGGAGATAACTTGTAATCTTAAGTCGTTACAAAGTCATGGGATATTAATTGTCATCTATTGTTACAGAGTGTGGAATATAACTGTGATCTTATCGTTCACAAAGCGTGGGATATAACCTTGTATCTCAGTCGTTACAAGCGTGGGATATAACTTGTATCTCAGTCATTACAAGCGTGGAATATAACTTGTATCTCAGTCGTTACAGCTGGAATATAACTTGTATCTCAGTCATTACAGCGTGGATAATAACTTGTATCTAGCGGCTCAGTCTACAAGCGGGGAGATAACTATGGATTCTCAGTCATTACAGGCATGAGATAATAACTTGTATCTGCAAGTCGTGTACAAGCGGGGAGATAACTTGGATCTCAGTCATTACAAAGCATGAGATATAACTTGTATCTCAGTTGTTACAACGGGAATATAAACCTTGTACTTAATCTCAGTCGTTACAAGGTGCGAATATAACTTGTATCTCAGTCGCTCAAAGCGTGGAATATAACCTGTATCTCAGTGCATTACAGAAGCATGGGAGATAACTTGATCTCAGTCATTACAGAGCATGCAAATATAACTTGTATCTCAGTCATTACAAGCATGGGAGATAACTTGGATCTCCAGTCATTACAAGCATGAAAGATATAACTTGTATTCTCAGTTGTTACAGAGCGTGAAATATAACTTGTATTCAGTCCATTACAAGGCATGAGATATACACTTGTATCTCAGTCGGTTACAAGCGTGGGAGATAACTTGATCTCAGGTCGGCTACAAAGCGTGGAATATAACCTGTATGCTCAGTCATTAGCAAGCATAGGGAGATAACTTGATCTCAGTCATTAACAAGCATGAGATATAACTTGTATCTCAGTTGTTACAAAGCGATGGAATATAAACTTGATTCTCCAGTCATTAGCAAGCATGGGATATAACTTGTATCTCAGTCATTACAAGCGTGGAATATAAGCTTGTATCTCAAGGCTCGTTTACACAGCCGTGGGATATAACTTGGATGCATCAGTCAATTACAGAGCGTGGAATATAACTTGTTATCTCCAGTATTACAAGCATGGAATAATAAAACTTGTATCTTCCAGTTTGTTACAAGCGTGAATTATAACTTGTATCTCAGTCCATTACAAGCGTGGAATATAACTTGTATCTTCAGTTGTTAAACAAAAGCGTGGATATATAACTTGTATTCAGTCGTTAAGCGGGAATATAACTTTGTTAATCTCAGTTGTGACAAGCCGTGGAATATAACTTGTATTACAGTCATTACAAGGCGTGGGAATATAACTTGTATCTCAGTCCATTACAAAGCGTGGGATATAACTTGTATGTTATGTCGTACAAGCAATAAGGATAATAAGCTTTGTATGTTAGTCGTTACAACATGGGATATAACTTGTATCTCTCCACCATCACATGAATGTGAAATATAAACTATGTATCGGCTATCAATTAAGAGGCAATGAGTATATAACTTAGTTGTCTATCATTGTCACGCCAGCAATGAACATATCTCGTATCTCATTGATGTGGTGCAGTGAGATCATCATCATCATCATCATTCATCATCATCATCTCCACCATATCCTCCGGTTTTAACATCACGTTCCGCGATGCAGTTAGCAGGTTGGACG